CCCCTCTGTCTTCTGCCCCTCTCTTTGTCATGTTTCTTTTCTTTCTTTTCTTTCTCTTTAGCTCTCCTGCTCTTTCTCTCTCTTCTTAGCCCCTCCCTTTTATCTCCCTCTTCTATTCTTTCTCCCTTCCTCAACCAATTCTCTTGTCTCTCTCTCTTCTCCGTGTTTCTCTTCTCTCTCTTCTGAACACCTTCCTTCTCTCTCTTCCTCTCTTCGATTACTTATTTATCTTACTCCCTCTCTCTCCCACTCTCTCTTCTTAGCCCCTCCCCTTTATCTCCCTCTTGTTTTCTTTCTCCCTGCCTCACTCCCACTCTTTTTGTTCCCTCTCTTCTCCATGTTTCTCTTCTCTCTCTCTCTCCTCTCAGCCCCTCTTCTTTATAGCCCTTGTTTTCTTTCTCAAACCCTCTCTCCCACCCTCTCCTCTCTCTCTTCCTGGCCCCTATCTCTCTCCATTTTTATTTCTTTTTCCATTCTTTCTCTTATCCTTCCTCTCTTCCTCCCTACTTTACTCCCCTCTCTCTTCTGTCCTTTCCGTTTTTTCTTTCTCCCAAGCCCTTTCACGCCATCTCTCCCTCTCTAGGATTCCTTATTTCTCTACCTCTCTCTATCCCGCTCTTTCTCTCTCTTCTCAGCCCCTCCCCTTTATCTCCCTCTTGAGTTCTTTCTCCCTGCCTCGTTCACTACATTTTTCTTTCCTTCTCTTCTCCATGTTTTTCTTCTCTGTTTCTCTCTCCCGAACACCTTCCTTCTCTCTCTCCCTCTCTTGAATTACTTATTTCTCTCTCTCCTCTAACCCCTTACTCTTTATATCCCTCTTGTTTTCTTTCTCAAACCCTCTCTCTCTCACACCTTCTCCTCTCTTTCTCCCTGGCCCCTATTTCTTTCCATTTCTATTTCTTTTCCCACTCTTTCTCTAATCCTTTCTCTCTCTCTCCGCCTTCACTCCCCGCTATCTTTTCTCCCTCTCTTCTTCGTGTTTTTCTTCTTCCTCTTTTGGATTCTATATTTCTCTTACTCCCTCTCTCTTTCTTTCTTCTGTTCTCTCTCTTTCTCTTCTTAGCCCCTCCCCTTATCTCCCTGTTGTTTCTCTCCCTGGCCCCATCTCTCTCCAAATCTGTTTTTTTTCCCCTTTCTTTCTCTAATCCTTCCTCTCTTACTCCTTATTTCTCTTACTCCCTCTCTCTCTCTTTCTCTCTTTCTCTTCTTAGCCCGTCCCTCTTGTTTTCTTTCTTACACCCTCTTCTCTCTCCATTTCTATTTCTTCTCTCTCGCTCCCTCTCTCGCTGTCTCTCTTATTTATAACCTCACTAAACAGCCTGGGCTCCCACATATGCCTATATTCTCATAAGTGTTTTGAGTGTGGGCCAAATGAATGCTTTTCAGGAGAGTTGAGAGCAGACAGAGAGAGCAGAGGGGCGGAGCAGCTATAGGGCGCGATCTACCCTCTGCTGTCGTCCAAAACTATCGGTGGATTTCGTAAAAGTCGACCTAATCAAATACACTGGAGGTGTACGCACATGTCTACCTGACGTACTAACAGAAGGAAATGCATGGTGATCTTTTTTGGATCTGCAGTATTGATACTTTGCAGTGACATCATGCAGGGGGTGTTCTACATGTATGTGTATGGCCGAATCAATTCACCGATTACACAGTGACACAATGCAGACTTAAGCAAACACAGCCAAATGTTTTTAGGTAGTTTGAAAACCAGTGTCATAGTACTCGGTCTTAGTCTCATTTGCGTTTGGACTTGGTATCTTGAAGGCGCTTGGACTCGGTCTTGTCACAGACTCGAGGTTCAGCTCCAGTTAAGAACTTGAAAAAACAGGTTCAAAAATCCGACCCACTTTCTTCACTTTCTTAACAGTTTTTTCTGTGAAGTACCAGTGAAAGTTCTGTTAAAGAGGTTCTTAAAGGGGTTGTCAAACTGTGGATGAGGGTTCAAAAACGTAGCCAGGCTGGGGCCACCTAGTGCCTCCGCTCAATTTAATTTCTCTCCAGTTACTAGATCAGGAATTGGAATACACTAGACGGTTTGCAAGAAGGAAGTGCGAATCCGGGCACCAGCCAATCAGCGAAGATCCATACATTCTGTTTTGGCAATGATTCCTGAGATCGAGGATTTAAAGCCGGAACAAAGAAAATGTCTGGTGAATTTTATCAAGGGGAAAGACGTTATTGCCCTTCTTCCTACAGGATTTGGGAAAAACTTAATATACCAGTTAGCCCTGTTAATGGTGCATTACATACATCACGACCAAATAGCAGCGATTGGTTAAATTTTAAAAAAGTACCCGCCTACCATCGCGCGAACAAATCCTAATGGTCAGACGGTTTCCATGAAGTGAAACTGGCTGATGAATCAGGCTACCAAAAAAGGGCCACAGAGTGTTAAAGTGCAGTACAGTTTGCTTGTCTTATTTTAAGCTTAAATTAACATTTATCAGAAAAAATGGCAATAAATCTATTAAAACACTGATATATATGTGACAAAACAACTGTAAAATACAATGTCAAAAATTACAAAGATGGTCTCGATTTAGTCTCAGTGGGTCTTTGTCTTGGTCTTGTCTTTTAAAACTCTTGGTCTTGTCTCGGTCTCGACCCTCTGAGATCTCGGTCTTGTCCTAGTATGGGGACCCTGTGATCTCGGACAGGTCTTGGTCTCGATTAGTGCGGTCTTGACTACAACACTATTGAAAACTCAAGAAAAATACAAAATTGGTTTAAACAACATATTTTAGTGAGCCTGTGACCATACGAGTGGTCATGGTCCTGTTTAGGGGTAGTTCTAACTAAGTGAGTTCTTTCAGGTTAGATTGTGTTGAAATCAGGATCAAACTTTATGTTATTAGGGTTTTTTTTCACACCAAGAGTTTGTTTTCATACCTGATAGTTTGGACTGCTCACTAGCACTCTTCCTCAGAGTGGTTACATGATGTTGCTGTGACGTGTCTGGTCAGCTGATTTATACAGGTTTTGGCGCTGTCTTCTTACCGGTGGAGGCAGGACGACAGCGCCATCAGCAGTCCGACTTCCTCAGTACAATATCCCAGGTGTGTGAGAGTAAAAAAGCTCCCTCCTCCCGGTCCATAGCCTTAGACTTTTAAAAGCTCAGACTTTTTAAAGTCTAATAAGACCTTAGACAGAGCAGTGCCTACAGTTAGCTTCACACCCCCAGGGAATATTTATGAAATCAGCTGAGAAGTACCAATCTTTTTTTTTTTGTATTTGAGAAGTTTTGCATATGGTTCAACTTGTGTCATCTTGTTACTTATCCAAATCAAATAAAACCAAAAGTTTAACAAACCAATTTGCAAACAAAAATTACAATTACAAGCCACATTAACATTCTATAGGCTAATTTTTGGAATATATATTATTAGTTAATCACTAACAAAGCCTAGAATAATTTATCTAAAATCGCTGGGGTTCAGATGACTTCAGAACTTTGTAAATGCAAATCTTATTTAGGGGCAGCTTAAATGAAAATAGTTAAAAAGCAGATTTGGGTCTAGTCATTAACAGAAATGACCAGGTCCAGCATTAGTGAATTTACCTTTTAGATATTTTTAAAATACAATATCAAAATCTGACTTTTGCGCCCATTCACATTCAGTGGTTGCACAGAAGGAGGCAAATGACAGTTGTCCTAATTGATGTAACACACACATTTACAGAAGAATTGCACCAAGCCCATTATTTAAATCTCTATACTTCCATGTAAACCCTCGGACGCCCCATTGACTGTAGATGATGATAATTTGAATACAGTCTGTTGTCATTATGGGGGGTCTATGGTCGTTATGATCAGCAGAGGGCGCTGGCGGGGGGTCCTTTGTGACATCCAAACCTTGCACTAGCCTAACCCACATAGCCACTAGTGCAGGTGCGAGCAGGTGGCAGCTAATTCGCTTCCTTTGTCTCTCATAATGAATGGTTAATTGGTTTGCATCACCCGCCGAGCTGAGCATAGAAGGAGGGCCCTGTGTCTGGCTTCTGTCCCACGTACCTACATTTACAGGGCCAAATGTCAGAACTACACGCAGGCTGGGGCAGTCACACAGAGGGCAGACTATAGAAGGTGTCTGGGTCATTTACATACGTTTTATGTAAAGTCAGGGTTGAAAATATCATGGCTAGATTTGAGTAGGTGTTAGTTAAAGGTGTAGTATACTTTTCCACCTGCTTGTGTCCATGGAGATTGTTTTCCCTTGATCTTGCATTAATTCAATGGAAAAACATGCATTACTGTGAGCGATATCGCTTCACAGATCTGATCTGGTTATATATCAGAGAGAAAATGAGAGAAATATGTTGAAATATGCCATATTATGTAACAACACAAACAAACATCTCTGTGGAGACTAGAAGGTGAAGGACCCTCCACCAGAAAACTTGCATTGTTCCATTTAACTGGGTTTAATATGTCTAAATGATCAGAAAACTGTCTTTCAGCTTGTAAGTATCAATACTGTATGGCATGCATTCAGCTGACTGTAAATGTCTCATATTGGACTCAAAAGGTGTTTTCTCGGTAAATCTTCGTTTAGTCCCAGTTTTGATGTGGTATGAACACTCAAGCATGCAGTTTCCAGTAGCAAGTTATTGTTAAAGTTTGGCTTACTGAAGTGTAAGTATGGCTTACTGAAGTGTGTAATAATTATATTATATTGACTAAATGTTATTCTTTTTTTATAGTTGAAAAGGTTAGCCATTTTGTGATTCTTTAGTTTTATTGCTTGCCACTTAAATCATCTTTGCATTTAACAAATGTGTTATGTACATTATGTGTATGTATCTCATTCAAATAGCACTAAAGCAGTTTCTCTCTTTCATAATGTGTATAATGCTTACCTTACATGTTCCTCCTTGTGTTATTCACTATGTCAAGTTACATTCATAATATTATAGCATCCATGTGCTCCATCTCTCTGCATATCTGAACATAATAGTCCTACTGAAAGTGATTGTGCCTGTGTGTTCCTCTGCAGGTGGTTGCTCTGAACAAGCGCAGTAAAGAGGCGGAGTCTGCCTTCCTGGGGATCTACAAACAGCTGATCGAGGCTCCAGGTCAGTTCAACCCCATAGGGGTCCAGAGCGTTTCATTACACCAGGGCTAGAAAGAGATTTTATGAGGGCCTTATGCAAAATAATGTGTGGGGGGCCCTGCTTATGATTAGCAATAACTGTATAAATACTTTCTAAATAACAAATATTTTTTTCTGAATCAGATCACATCAGAACAGATTATCATCATGTTAATGTTTGAGCAAATAAAAAAAAATATAAAAAATTAGGCAAAAGATTTTAATTTAGGTTCCCCTGGTGGATGAAGCGCCCCATACATGTGCCTCATTTGTTAACATCTTTGCTCTATACAGTTCATGGTACATGGACATACACACACATGCCTGGGCAATGAGCAGTATCAAAATTAGCTTTAATGTAAAGTAACTCAGTGCTGCACTCTTTGACTTGCTTTGATGGTTAGCAACTGTTGCCATGTTGATATCCCTGATAAACAAAATATTCTTAGTAGCAGTATTAAACTCTAATAAGGATTATTAGATCATGGATTAGTGAACCCCCACACTGACTCTACGTTTCAAAACACATGTTGACAACTTGCACATGAATGCATCACAAACTCTGGTAGACCAACTTCCCACACTTCATAAGAGAGCAAAATGACTGTCAAAGATTAGTCAATGGAAGAGTACCAATGACTGATTAATTGCCTAAAATGTAATTATTTAAAGCCGTACTTTACCTCAAATACAAGAAAATCACAATCACAGACACAGCACGATATCTGACTCGTTGCAAGCCCCATCATTGTGAGATTGATTGAATGTCTCTTCCCACTCACTCCCCCATTTTCAACTGTTTACTGTCCTGACAAATACATATCTAGAGTATAACATCATATCTCTATTGCTTCAAAGTTAATTTACTTTCAAAACCTCCCTCTGTGAATCCCTCTCAACTGTGCTACCTACCTCCTCTGTATCCTCTTAACATCAGACAACATCTATGAACTATCCGCAATACATGAGGCAACATCCAGCCCTGAAAAAGTCATTCCTCTCCATAGATATAAGACACATAAAGCCCCATACCCCACGGCTCTTATCTATTTTTCAAAGTCAGTGCCTGTGAGCGCTTTCCAAAACTCTGCATGCGGCCACTTCAAACCCGTGCATCGGTCCTTGAGTGGTGCCTGGCGGAGGGGCAGAGGAGCAGGGTACAAGCAGGATCCTGGATGTTGATTGCGGAGAGCCAATTAAAATCCCCCACTGAAGTCTGGAGCTCCATGCACAAGGCGGGACTGATGAGGCCAATGGGGAAACACGCAGAGGGGCACAAGCCTTCAAAAGAACCAGAGACGCCACATAAGTAAAGTTACATCAAGAAGCAAGGTGCGGGGATTTAGGGGTAAAAGCAGCTGGTCACCGTGGTAACTGTAATGTGATGATGTAAAAATGAAATGTATGGTTTGAATAAATCTTAGCACAGGTTGGTCCAAGAAGTAAGTTAAATGTTAAATTGTGATTGTGATTAGAGTTGTGAAATATTAGTATATATACACTCACACAAGATTTATACAAAACAGAGCCGCCTTTAATCTGACTTTGGCTTTTATAGTTGGAAAGTATTTAATATTATCAATAGGTGGATGGTATAAGTTAACTAAAAGTTAAAGAGACAGCATGTAAGATTTTGTTCCATAAACATGACTTATCTGTGTACCAAGATACAAGTTAGAAATGTTTAAAGGGACAGTGTCGAATTTTAGACATAGGGCCTCATTTCCTAGTGAGCAAGAGTGAGACGTGTGGAGACACTTTTAAAAAAATATATTTTATCTAGTCCTTGTATTTGCAGAGGTTACTGGTGCTAGGCTAGCGCATGTCAATGGCCATATTTAGCCTGCTACTCAAAACAGTCTTACCCACTCCACAAAGCACCCGAAGCAAAACAATTATAACACCAGACTGTCACTGTAAATGTCTGTGTTGATAGAATAATTTTAGAAATAAAACCAATCTTGCATTTGAAGGATTTATGTCTGAGCAGCAGCAGCTAGGTGTACTTACTGATAGAAAGCTTGGCAGCGACGGATTGATATATAAGAAAATAGTCCCTCAACATGCGGCGATTCATGCGATGCAAGCTTAGTTTTATTTCAAACATTATTTTGTCAACACAGACATTTACATCGATGGTCTGCCGTAATAATTGTTTTGCCTCGAGTGCTTTGTGGAGTGGGTAAGACTGTTTTTAGTGACAGGCTAACTATGGCCATTAACATGCGCTAGCCTAGCACCAGTGAACACTCTGACTCACTAAGAAATGAAGCCCTATGTCCAAAATTCCAAACTGTGCTTTTAAACATGTCTATTTTGTATATGGGTACAGAGATAAATCATGTTTATGGAAAACAAAATCTTACATAGTGTCTCTTTAACTTTTAGCTAATTCGTACCATCCACCTATTGATAATATCCAGTATTCCTCTATGAATACAAGGACTGGATGAAATTTTTAAAAAGTGTCTCCACACGTCTCCAACACTCTGGCTTACTAGGAAATGAAGTCCTATGTCCAAAATTACGAACTGTCCCTTTAAATCATGTCGCCGCTACAAATGAGAATGTGTTCTTTATTGACTTACCTGGTAAGATATTGCATAAATAAAACATCAAATAAAAATAAAATATAACTATTATAGTCAACCATTGTAATGATTTATTCTTAAATATAGCTGACTTGATGACCAGTTTGTTGTATATTGTCTTGTATGTGTCCTCTATACACAGGTTAAGACATTGGCAACACAGGTTCAGTTGCGATTGTTTTTTTTTTTTGTTTTGTTTTTTTAGAGCTCAGGCCACATACTGTACCTTTAACTTAATCTATAAAAATCTGTGTCTCTTTGCAAACTCACCAGACTACACAGCGCCAGCATACTTCTATACATATTGAGCATTTGTTTGGGAACACATGTACTGCATTGCTCTCTATTGCAGCACGACACGAGCAGCAAACTGGGCCCAATCTGTGTGTAGATCAGAGGGACACTTGTGGCAGGAGTAGCGAGCGCTGTTTACAGATTCAATGAATACAAGATAAAAGTGCGCGTCTGTGAAACCGCCACGCATCCACTGACTTTTAAAGGTCCCCATTTTTCCTTGAAGTCCCCTGCTTGATATAGCGCCACGCACACACACATACTTTGAATGCCGTTATTTCCTTGATAAGAAATACCTAAGCTTGAAGATGTTTGATTCTCCTGACCTATACCTTTTATACGGAAGCCTCGATTCAAATGCAGCGTCTCGGAGGGATGCAGTTTGTCACGGACGATGCTGAAAGAGTGTATTGAAGAATTGCTGTTCAGAGACTAAAGTGGTAATGACAGAAGAAAGGAGAGTGTCAGACAACATAGACTCAAGGTGGAGATGAGATAGCACTGCTTTGAATGTACTTCTGATCTTTCATTAAAAATGTGCATGAGTATAAGTTCTGTTACTGTAGTGGGATTATCTTATGTCAGAGCAGATGAGGTGAAGGAGGAGTATATGATATCTGCTCTTAGCTTTATATTTTGGTAGAATAACAATATGTGCATATATAGGTGCACTATGTAACTTTTCTGGAGAATGGTCTTCTATCTCCTTGTCTCCATGGATATTGGTTATCGCTATACCTTGAATATTCCTCAGTAAGGCATTTAACTTGTCAAAAGTTTTAGAATACCCTAATTTTTCCAGTTATTTATTGCAGTTCAAGTCGATTTATCAGCTTCACTTTGTGGAAACCATTTCTGTACTACTGGTGACTAAATGTCTAAGACCAAGGCCCCATCCACACTAGTATGTATTTGAGTCGTTTTCATTGCGGATGCACTGTTCATTCACACTTATCCGATGGAAAATGGCTCCAGAGACGGAATGATCTGGTACCGCCAGCTCCCACAAATTCATCTGAGTACGGATCTGATCCTGCACTGTGTGGACGCCTGAAAACGTTGATACACTAATGTAGGCACTCTAGTTGCTGTCCTTATTGGACCACATCACTGTGGCTTGTGCCTTCCTGATTCAGCGGGTTTGTGACAGCGGTCATGTGACGCTAAACAAGCCCTAGACAAGCGGGAAACAGCGTAGCCATGCTCATTTCAGGGTGTCTTGCGTTACTGTTTGGATAGGGTAGGCTTTGATTGTGGACACAGATACCACGTGTCTTTTGTTTCCGATACGGTGATACAATGATTGACTAACCTCACAGCTGGAAGGTCCCATGGTGACTTATATTGAACTAAATATCATATCTATAAATGTTTTATTGTCTATTTTTTTACATCACTGACTTCAGCACATAATTTTAGCACAGTTTCTTCTTGCTATTCTTTGTCTGCTTCAGTTCACCCTCCATATTTTAAACCCCACCTTGAGAACGTGTCCACTGCCTTTTTTAATCTCCATTTAAACCGCAGAATCGGCCTTCTCTCCGTATCTCCCCATCTGCTTCGGCCTTACTGTATCCTAAACATGTTTTTGTCACTGTACTTCCACCCGCCTCTATCCAAGGTCACCCCCCTCCCCCCTGTGTCACCCCGCCCGCCCCCCCTCTGTTAAAATGGATGACTTGAGGTACAACAGAGGACACGCATTTGGCTATGGCCCGCTCCATTCTCTCCCCTTTAACACAACAGTGAGCTTCCCCAACAAACGTCACACCTCATGTATTTTTAATCTTTTGACAGATGCAATTATTCTCTACACGCCGCGCTCGTTAATCTTAATGCAGTTATTACTATTCATTGCGTGTGACTGGTTTCTTTTTTTTTTTTCATATTTTTTTGTCTTCTGCAATTATTACATTTGAGTGTGGGAGTGCATGCCCGCTGCCTGTTGCGCACTGGCCAATCAGAATGGGGTAGTGAATGTAATCAGGAAGCAGAGGTGGTATACAAGTTTTAAGGTCCTATATTACACAAAATTGACTCTTGTGAGGTTTTTGCATGTTAGAATGTTGGTACCTCCTCAAAAACATACCTGGAGTTG